TGGCGGCGGCAGCAACAATACTACAGTGAGAATAAAAGTTACGCCTTCTTTCTTTGCGTGAACATTTGGGCGGCGTTATGCAAATCTTCCCACCTAGTGAGGTAGATATGTGGGGGTGTGTTAGAACGAGCCGTTTTAGGTAGGTGTGGCTGACTCTGAATTTTTATAAAGAATATCTCTTTGGATTTGAGACTTTAGTCTTGCAACTTTACAGATCTTCTTTATGCACCAAGAGCTTGTAACACTCCAAAGAGAAAGGAAAAATTGAAATCGCATCATATGACCCCTTTAACATATTTGTGGGTCTCTGGCGAGCAAGTTATATATATTTTTTTACTACCATTCAAAAGTTTGGGATCAGTAAGATTTTTAAAAATGTTTTGCATTATCTTATTATTACAATTAAAAAAATATATATATTTAAAAATATAATTTATTCCTGTAATGGTAAAGCTGAATTTTCAGCATCCTTACGCCATGCTGAAGATCATCTCTTTTTGGTGCTCAAGTAACATTTAATGTACAGTGTTTAATGTTAATGTAGAATGTAAAAGTTTTTACTGTCACTTTTGATCAATGTCTTTGCAGAATAAATGTATTACATTAGAAATATATACATATTAATGACCTCAAATGTTTGAATGGTAGGGAATGAATGAATGAATGAATCCAGACTAGTGAACAGTAATAATTTTTAACACTGTCCATTTGTCAGGATTGTTGTGTTCAGGTGCTACTTAAATTAGTTTCACATTACGCAACCCACTGTGCCAGAGTTCCTTTGTGGAATCCGTAATATTATTGGGTGACACAGGTCAGGTTTATTTTTAGCATTCTGATGGACTGTTGATGCTAGAATGTATCTGTTCCCTTGCAGGATTCTTCATCTTTGTGTTCCATTGTGCCATGAAAGAAAACGTCAGACGACAATGGAGGACATACCTGTGTTGTGGCAGCCTGAGGATGGCAGAAAACTCAGGTAAGAGGCCTTTGTAAGTTCATGCAAATGACTGACTTGCTTTTATGTCATGTATTTATCTAATTACTGCCTTTCTTTCTTGTACGCAACAGAATGGAGTCGCACAGCAACTCAGAAGATAAACAAAGCCTCCAAGAAAAGAATGTTTTCATTCCGCTCGGCGAATTCTAACAATTCTAGCTCCTCTTTCCTGAACCATGACAGCTTGGCATCTGATACACCTATAGATGTTGGTGAGTATTACCTGCTAGACGGGCTGTTAATCAGCTTTCCGCATGTTTATAACCTGAAATTCCTATTTGAAACAGCAGGTGATGCTAACTGATCTTTAAATGGTAGCACAACCCTCTTCCACGTTCTCTTTTATTATTTATGTTTTAGTCACACACATTCAGCTTGATTTAAATTAGACAGAACAGAACCTATTATTAAAGGACTAGTTCACCCAAAAATGAAAAATTGCTGAAAATGTACTCACCCTCGGGCCATCCGAGATGTAGATGAGTTTCTTCATCAGAACTGTTTTGGAGAAATCTAACATTACATCACTTGCTCACCAATGCAGTGAATGGGTGCCGTCAGAACGAGAGTCCAAACAGCTGATAAAAACAGCAAATTTTCATTTTTGGGTGAACTATTCCTTTAATTAATTCAATTAAGTCAATTAAAACATCTTTTATACTTTTAAACATTTATAGTTGAATAATCAATATTTCTACACTGGCCAGATTAGGTCTATTGTGAAAGAAGTGCAAAATGTGAACTCTTTTTCTGTAATTGCAGGCAACCCGATGGACGACAGGACAATAACTGCAGCAGAAGAGCCCAGATCAGGTTCTGATGTGGTATTGAATGAGATCAACGACCAGTACCGAGGTCAGAGGTCATACTGAATGAACTGATCACAGCCGGCATGAGCATGTGTGCATGTATGTGTGTAGTATGGTCTAAAACTGTATTTCACTGCTATTTTAAATTTACATAAAGTATTGTGTGTTGTATATACAACAGAAATATTACTTCAAATGAAGCACTTTATTTAATGCAATTAAATAATGAAGCTACCACGACAATGCAAAACCTTTTTTTAACCACCACCAACAAAAAATATTTGATGGTTTAGGTTGCATCATTTTCTGTGAGTAGTTGGATAATTGTGCAATTGGAGCAAATTGGATAATGTATAAAATGAAATGATGTGCTTATATGGTTCAATGACTTGATTATTTTATATATCTGTATGAGTCTAGAACAGGGATGGGCAACTTTGATAGTGACGAGGGCCAGCATTTTTTCTCCTTTATACCAAGGGGTCAGATTACTAATCCATGTCCACACACCTTTTACACCATCTTACTCAATTTCCTTTGTATTGAAGGAAATGAAAGTATAACTAATGTCATTTGTTTTCAAAGATTTTATTAAGTATAAAACTTGTGCACGTTAGTGGTTTCCCCGGTAACCGCATTACACAAAGCTGACATGCAGCGCTCAAGTTTATTCAGTGAAATCGTAGCCTTTTGAAGTTTAATTGTCATATTAATCCATATAGCAATTCTTGTCTTTCCGTCCCCAAATACCTCTTATAATTTAGACTTTTGTACCATTTAAGAGTTTGCATGGCCTTAAATGTAAACAATTTAACTTTAAGGACCCGCGGAAACCCTAATAAGAACATAGTCCAGTGCAAACATTTCTGTCATGCATTTGGCAAAAAAACTTTTGTTGACTATGAATTTTACCTTTGAAATTTGAGGCAAGTGCAACTATGGCGTCCCCGTTGTTTGTGAGCAGTGGTGTGATGGCGATTTAAATAAAATACAGATTTCCAAACAATCCAAACATATGGGTATCCCCTTGAACTTGATAAAAAGATAATCTGTTTACCATCTTGACTTGAAAATACTGTTTTCATGGTCAGTTTTTCATTTAATATTTGCTAATGTTAATGAATGTTTACATAATGGCGCTTTTCCACTGCATGGTACGGCACGGTACGGCTCCGTACGGTTCACTTTTGGGGGGTTTTCCACTGGGTACAGTACCTGGTACCTGGTACTTTTTTTTGTACCACCTCGGTTGGGGTTCCAAGTCGGTTAGAGTGCACATCCTACTACGCTGAAATTAATAGGGGAGCGTCTGGAAACTATAGCAACCTCTCCTGGTTGGAGATAGTATTCAAATCATAAACTGAAAGCAATCTTTACCTGACTTGCTTTTCAAATGTTTTAAAATTGATCACCCGAGTCTAATATGATCCAGCGGGCCGTACTAAAAGACACTGCGGGCCCATCCCTGGTCTAGAACATTCAAAATCATGTATGTTGTCACATGTATTTTATTTTTGTATTTTCATAGATTTTCAAAGTAATAAAATGTACAACATAACAGTATAAAAAAGAAGAAGTACAAGTTGTAGAGTGCCTGGTAGTTTTCAAGTTTTGCTTCAATCTGCAACATACTGTAATCAAAACAAATGATGGTGAATAGTATTATGAAGGTTTTTTTGTTGCATGTTGCTTATATGGCAAGAGCTGTACAAAAGCTCCAATCTGATTGGCTGGATGCTATACAATTTCCATGAATCAGAGTGCACAGGTTTTTAAAAGTCCACCAGGACTTTTAAGAGTTATGTTTACAAGGAGAAAGGCTTCTACTGAAACATTTTTTTTTGAGGTTCATGGCATCAAATGTCTACAAGATGTTCAAGAGTTTTGTTTGAGGCAGTTAATAGCAAGTATATTCCTTTTTATTTCCTTTTGGACACATGCAAATCTGTCTATTCACACTTTTTCTTAACTGTAATGTTGCATACTGTTGTTTGGTGTTATGCTTTCACAGATTTCAGATCTTCCCACAACTATGTACAATACCATTCAAATACCTTTTTTTTTTAAAGAAATTAATACTTTTATTCATCAAGGATGCAATAAATTGATCAAAGAAAACAGTAAAGACATATTGTTGCCAAAGATTTCTATTTCAATTAAATGCTGTTGTTGCGAATGTACAGTTTCCACAAAAAATATTAAGCAGCACAGCTGTTTTCATCATTACTAATAAGAAATGTTTCTTGCGCATTAGATGTTTCTAACATTTAAAATATATTAAAATAGAAAACAATATTTCACATTATTACAGTTTTACTGTGTTTCTGAGCATAAGACCATCTTTCAAAAACATTAAAAATCTTACCAACCCCAAACTTTTGAATGGCAGAGAAAATGTCAAGGGTGAAACTCTGAACTGTGATTGGTCCCTTTATGTCACTCAGACAGCTACTTCCTGTTCAAGTGGGCGGTTCTAACAGAAAAAAAACACGGGCCAAACTCTGATGAGTCAAAAGTCCTACTATGTGAGACTAGCTTGAGAGTTATTTTATTTAATTTATTCACAAGTTTACATGTTCATATAATTCTTGAGCATATAAAGCAGGTTGGCTTGGTTTTGAGTTTCCGCTCTCGGATCTAATGAATTCTAGAAGATAAAGCTGGGGTGGTGGATGGATCCCATAAGAATGGTCACAAGAGTGAGGTAAGCTACAGTATATCCTTGAATGAGATGAACATGCTCCCTGCGTTTGAGGGTTTATGACAAAAGACATTCCTTCACATGCTATAAGAAATGCTAAATGTTTAAGAGATCTCCATATCTAATGTCTGTCTGGATCTTTCTCCAGTTACACTTAATCAAAACTGTCAGGTCACTTGTGCTTATTGTCAGAGCTTTCATTTTGACAGCCATCTCAGGCCCAAAGTTCAACTGTCTTGTGCAATAAGACTAGTTTATCCTGGACTTATTACAGTGACAGATCAGAAAACTCAAGCTACACGATCAAGAGTAGATACACCAGTACATGATGTTGAAGAGAAGATATGCCAGTGGAAAGATGATTCTGGAGTACGAGTCAATCATGTAGCTGTTGCTCATTATGAATCGGATATTTTTGCCGACTGAGCGTTTCCTCCAGAGTCTCGTGCCTTCGGTGGGTGGAGGCTCGGTGGAGGAGGCTCTGGGTGGGATGGTCCGCGTCGTGCTGGGTGTGGTGGGGAGCTCGGGGAAAGGCGATACATCTATGTCATCGTGAAAACAGCCATCGTAGGCCATAGCCTGGGTTGCGTCGTAGGAAACTGGAAGCTTTGGTAGGAAGAGAAACGCGAGAAAGTAAATATCTGTACAAACAACATTGATAAAAAATGTACATGAATTTATATTCAATTTATACATTGAAGTCAATAAAAATGCCATTTACAATCCATTTGATTTGAGTTGTTACTTTTGTAAAGTCAAAATAGATGAATGTTTTTTTCTTCAACCATTGCAAGAATTTGGTTTACATTTAAGGGGGTCATCGATGCCCATTTTCCACAAGTTGATATGATTCTTTAGGGTCTTAATGAAAAGTCTATAACATACTTTGGTTAAAATTTCTCAAAGGTAATGTAAAGCAACACCCTTTTTACCCTGTCAAAAAACAGCTCTTTTCAGAGCAAGCCGTTTTGTTGCAAGCCGCTTTAAATGCTAATGAGCTCTGCTGACCCCGCCCCTCTCTTCCGTGGGGTGACGCACAGTTCTCTGAGAGACTGTGAAGTTTATTAATCGTGAAACTTGCTAACTAGCACGTTATTAGGAAAGGCGATTTGCAAAGATTCATAAAAAAACCTTACACTCACTTCTTCTGGAGGTGAAGCTGGATCACGAATGATTCGCACGAAGATAGACGCATTTAGATAGATCGGGGGTGCATTCCCTTAAAAAACAAACGTAATCCACTGCGTCTTCAGCGGCTCAGATGTCGGGAGTAAATGACGACTGCTGTTCATTATTACATCCAACAACAAAACACCTCAATCGCTTAAGAGTCATTCTTGTCTGCATCTGCTCCGGCGGTGAAACAATAGCGGACTGATGACAGCTCACTCAGGGCGGAGCTGTGATAAAACCAAAGACTGACGCCACTGTCAATCAACAGTCATGACGTCACACAGACAGGCATCTGAGAATGACTTGATATGATAAAGGGGTAATGATTTTAGGAGATTACAAAAAAAAAACACTGGGTGAATTTGTACTATTATAGGGTGGTTATGTACACACACTGCCAACACACATTTATGTTCAAACAACATGTAAACGTGAATTTCGCATCTGATGACCCCTTTAAAAAATAAAACATTTTTTTAAATTAAATTGTTCTAATTTTGTTAATAAAATTATAAATAAAAATAAATGTATTTATATTATTTATAAATTATTATTATTGTTATTATTATTTTGGTAGAAACCATGGTTACCAAGGTAAAGTTTTGTTAGGCCAGTTAAATTAAGTTGTTTTAAATTTGTTAAAAAAAAATTATAAGTAAAAATAAAATTATTATTATTATTAATAAATGTTATAATATGCTATTTATGAATCAATACTTTTATTGTTTTCAAAATCTCTCTGTTGTTTTAATTTTTAAATAACATTATAAATAAAAATAACTACATTATTTATGAATTAATGAATATTATTGTTGTTGTTATGGTATTTTGGCAGAAACTATGGTTAACAAGGTAAATTTTTGTTAGGCTTTTTGCCTTTAAATTTGATAATAAAAGTATACAAATATGTATTTATTAAATATTATTTATAATGCTCTCAAATCTCTGTTTATTTTCGTAATGAAATAACATTCAAATTAAGGTATTTTAATTTTGTTAATAAAATTCTAATTAAAATGAATTTATGCATATTATTATTATTATTGTTGCTGTTGTTGTGTTTTGACAGAAACTATGGTTACCATGGTAAACTTTTGTTTGAATTTGTGTTGCCTTAAAATTACCATAGGGGGCGATGTGTAGCTTAAAAGTAAATATTCAGTCTTGGACATAGTTACCAGAGCAAATATCACCATATACAATCTCTGATCAATCCGTGACCCTGACCTTTCCTTTCTGAAGTTTTTTCATCTCTTCCACCGTGGTGAAGTAGTTCACGGCAGCATATTCAATGACCGACAGGAAAACAAAGAGGAAACTGGCCCAAAGGTAAATGTCCACCGCCTTCACATAAGACACCTGAGGCATTGACGCTGAGACGCCTGTTATTATAGTAGACATGGTCAACACGGTTGTGATTCCTGTAGCAGATCAAAAGAATCAAAAAGAGAGAGGGCAGAGTCATGAATAAGAAGCGGGTTCATGGGAAACAAAGATAACATGTTAAGAGGAAGTTCGTAAGTTCAAGCATAAATATTTGCATGTATTGCATCTCACACAAGAGTCCCCAGCAGATTATGGACGGTCAAATTGGGTGTAAAAGGAAATGAAAGTATGAGGAAATGCATGACATTAAATGTTCTATAAATTAGTCACTGTTTATTCCAAATTCTCACAAACAGTGTAGGTTGCAACACTTCTCTATAGTTCTTCTTTAGAAAACCTACAGGAAGACACACATTGTGTGGACTGCTTCTTCTATTGTGACTCTCACTGGGCTTGTGCTATGTTGTCATCGACGTGTATGAAAAGAGCAACTTCCTGGGTGGGTGTCTAACGCCTGCTGGCCTGACTATCAAGGTATTTTTGAGGTAATTTAATTCCGTTTTCTCTATACCGGTTTGTGCTTGTTCCTGGAGAGTGTAATAACCAGTGAGAACAAAGTAAACACACACAGCTCACTGTTACCAACCCACCTCCTGAGGCGAAACTTCCTGAAACAGAAACTTCCTGTCACAGGTCTAACGTTAAGATCTGACAGGTTAAATGGAACAAATGAACAGAATATCATTTCTAAACGTATTTCTAGATTCTAAAATGAGGATGTTTACCTAGAGAGACACGGGCCGGTACGGCTCTCCTGTCGATCCAGAAGGACACCCAGGAGAGCATGACCATTAGCATTGTGGGAAAGTATGTCTGCAGCATGAAGAAGAATATGTGTCTCCTGAGGATGAAGTTTATGTACAGCCTGTTATACCAGCCTGAGAGAAACAGAGAGTACGGGACATTTACAACAGATATGAAGACAATAATTAAAGAAAGAAAGGACAATATTAAACTTTATTACAAATGAAAAAGAAAAAAAAAAATTCTCAGAATACACATGTCCCCATGAATTACTGTTGATATATTTAACAGGATAATGAACTTAGATTTTATACATATATAAATATTCAGAAAATAAATATTTATTTTCAATTTTATTTTAATAGTTTCCATCAATCTGTTATTGGCACACATCTTCTACCATAACATTCAATTTAATTTAATATAATTGAATGTAATTTAATATTTAATTTAATTTACAATTCAAAAGTTTGGGATCAGTAAGATTTTTAAATGTTTTTGTATTAAGCCTCTTCTGCTCACTAAGGCTGCATTTATTTGATGAAAAATACAGTAACAACAGTAACATTGCAAAACATTATTGCAATTTAAAAATACTGTATTTTCAGCATTATTACTCCAGTCTTCAGTGTCACATGATCCTTCAGAAATCATTCTAATATGCTGATTTGGTGCTCAAAACCATTTCTTATTATTATCAGTGTTGAAAACAGTTGTGCCGCTTAATATGTTTGTGGAAACCATGATGCATTGAATGTTTGATTAAGAGCATTTATTTGAAATAGATTTTATTTAACAATGTAAATGTCTTTACTGTCACTTTTGATCAATTTAATGCATCCTTGCTCAATAATAAAAGTATTAATTTCTTTTAAAAAAATAAAATAAAAAAAATTACCGACCCCCAATTTTCGAACATGTGCTGTTTTTAACAAGGCACACTAACACGGAATTTACTCAGTTTTAGAATTAAAACTGAAACTGACACATTTAAAGCCCAAAATTAGTAACAACTTCTAGTAATTATAGATATGGGGTCACAGGTTTCCTGAGAATGACCCAAGACATCAAGGCAAAGAAAAGCACTGCATATATCCAACCGTTTCAGTCAAGAATGCTGGGAAATCTCATTTTCTGGACTCTCTGTTGGTTCGCTGTGATCAAGCACATGGTAGTACAGTAATAAAAGCATGCAGGAGGAAGTGAAGCACACATACCGGTGCTGCTGTAGAAGGCTAGCCCGAAGGAAGGGTGGAATTCTTCAATAAAAAACTGCAAGAGTGCAATCTCGTCAGTCCTTAATGAATCGTTCCCATTCTTCCAATAGAGCATGAGGTCGTTCTCATTGTAAGCGTCTTCAAGAGAGCAAAAATAAAATGTGGGAAGGGGAGTGGGGAGGTGTGAGACAGCAAACTCTCTTTGAAGACACATGGGCGGCACTCCTTAGAGGAGAGAACACCGAGCATCCAAAACCAGCTCCGCCATCTCTCCTCTGAAGCGGAGGCCCATGTAATTCTGTGTGTCATGGGTGAAAGACACAGAGATATCTGTGCAATTATTTTATATTCTGCAACAATGAAGCCTGTATAAATCAGATTAAATATGACTAAAAAAGGGTTATATGATATACCACTAGCAAGCCAGAAACACATAAAACTCTACTATTAAAGGAGTAGTTCACCCAGAAATTAAAATTGTCATCACAATCATGTAAAATGTTCTTTTGTCCATTCCACACATTAGGAAAAGCTTTGAAGAATGTTCACGCTGCTCTTTTGACATATAATGAAAGAATATACTGACTGACTAGTACAAAAATCAAAAAGCACCACAAAAGTGGTCCATACAACTTGTGTTATTTTAGTATTATTTGTATAGTATTTGTTAATATTATCTGAATTAGCTTTTACTTTAATATTCGGTTTTTATTTTTAGTTTAAGTTTTACCATTTTTGTTATGTGCTTTAATTAGTTTTTAAAATATAAATTTCTATATAGGATTAATGAATTTTTTATTCAGTTTTAGTCATTTTAGTATTTTAACTTTAGCTTATTTATGTTAGATATAGTCCCAAGACAACATTTATCATTTTTGTTTACATTTTTTAAGTTTTAGGTTTTCATTAATATTTAATGAAATATTTATATTTTATTTTATTTCAGCTTTATTTTGGCTACCACAAACAATTTTTACTAGTTTTATTTAAAGGGATAGTTCACCCAAAAATGAAAATTACCCCATGATTTACTTACCTTCAAGCCATCCTAGGTGTGTATGACATTCTTTTTTCAGACGAATACAATCGGAGTTATATTAAAAAACATCCTGGCTCTTCCAAGCTTTATAATGGGAGTGGATGGTAGCCCAAAATTTGAAGTCCAAAAAACTGAACCAATCCATTATAAAAGAAGTCCACACGGCTCCGAGGGGTTAATAAAGGCCTTCTGAAGCGCCGCGATGCGGTTGTGTAAGAAAAATATCCATATTTACAACTTTATAAACCTTAATCTCTAACTTCCGCTAACTGTCGTACACACATTCACGAGAGAGTGGTGTCCAGCAGATGACGTAGTACGTAGGCAAACGCAGTGACGAACGTGGAAGTGATGAACGTGGAAGCACAGAGGAGAGAGCAAAACAAAACACCAGTCACGAATTAGTAGTACAAAACGAGGATTTGTAAAGAAAAATGTTGGAGGATTTCAATATAAGCCAAGAGGACACTGGTTTTCCTTTGCTGTAAACAAAACTTGTTTCTCGCGAGACTAGCATATTCTCACCGAGTTTACGCTCCGCCTACGTCATCCGCTGGACGCCACTCTCTCGTGAATGCGTGTACAACAGTTAGCGGAAATGAGAGATTAAGGTTTATAAAGTTGTAAATATGGATATTTTTCTTACACAACCGCATCGCGGCACTTCAGAAGGCCTTTATTAACCCCCCGTGAGCCGTGTGGACTTCTTTTATAATGGATTGGTTCAATTTTTTGGACTTCAAATTTTGGGCTACCATCCACTCCCGTTATAAAGCTTGGAAGAGCCAGGATGTTTTTTAATATAACTCCGATTGTATTCGTCTGAAAGAAGAAAGTCATATACATCTAGGAAGGGTTGAGGGTGAGTAAATCATGGGGTAATTTTCCTTTTTGGGTGAACTATCCCTTTAACTGACTCGTGACTTATATTCAAAGCCTTCTGAAAGAAACAATAGATTTGTTTCGGAAACAGGCCATTGTTATAAAATTTGAATAAATGTACAGTTTAGTCAGGTTTGATGCTAATGATACTAAATGCTAAGAAGAATGTGTTTTCACTGAAAATCTATGTACATTTTGTGTGATATGAACCACTTTTTAAAGTTGACTGGTCCTGGTAACTGTATACACTACCATTAAAAGTTTGGGGTTGGTTTTTGGTGTCACATGATCCTTCAGAAATGATTATGCTAATCACTAATATGCTCATTTGGTGCTCAAGAAATGTTATTATTATAAATGTGGAAAACTATTGTGCTCTTTAGTATTTTTTGTTGAAACCATGATACATTTTTTCAGGACTCTTTGATGAATATAAAGTTCAAAACTTTAATTTAAAATAGAAATCTTTTGACAAGGCTTTACTGGTACATTTTCTCAAATTAATATGTCCTTATTGAATAAAAAAAGCGTTAATTTCTTCAAAAAAAAATAAAAAAATAAAAAAATCTTACTGACCCCAAACATTAGTGTATTTTCATTGTACAAGCTGTGAACATCCGGCTAAATGTCTTCTTTTTGTGCTCGGCAGAAGAAATGAAGGTGAGTAAACGATGACAGAATTTGTCATTTTTGGGTGAACTATCCCTTAAACACAACATTAGGCTACATTTAGGATATGTTTACAGGTAGTGCTTTGACTAATTAGTTCCTTGTACTCTGTTGATAGTACTTACTGATGAGTGTACATGCACACACGCAGACGGTCATACTCACAACTCTCCAGCTCTAGAGAGCAGTTCTGTGTGTCTAGAGGAAACCTGCTGAAGTCCATAGAGCAGAGAGCCGTCACTGTGATTCTGCAATTCACAATTCAGTACAGCCTTAATAAATCACTTACAACGAGACTGAAAAAGTTCCTTTAAAATCGTGACATGTGATATTGAGCTTAGCAAAACATCAAATCAAGGAAACAATTCAGGTGAATTGAACTGAAAACTGATCCTGCACATACTGTAAACTGGCTTAGGCACACCTGACCATGCACACATGTCTACACTTGCAGCGCATGCTGCTAATTCTTAGACAAAATTCTTGTCCAACTATAGTACAGAAGTATTTAAACGAAAACCACACCTCATTTGTCAAAGTATATGGGAATTTGGTCACACATCATTTAATCTGTATGACCTTTTATTCCCCCATGGAACAAAAAATGTATATTCTGATCAGTGTTGTCATTAACTAAACTAAAACTATTAAAACATTTTGTTAATTAAAATAAACCTGAAGTAAAATAGAAATATTAAATAAATTTTAATATTTGAATTGTTGCCTTGGCAATTAACTGAAATAAACATAAATAAAAACATTGAAAACATTAAAATAAATAAATAAATAACTAAAATTAAAATATAGTAGTTCAAAATAAAAAAGCCAATTCAAAATAATATCTGTAATAGTATAAATAATAATTAAATAACACTTTTTCTGATAGAAAGATTACAGATTTTTCTATACGATGACAGTTCTTAGTTATGTTGGCAATTAAAAAACAAAACAAAACCTAGAACTGGTATGTACATCTTATAGGCCATATTTCAAATCTTCTGAAACAATACTATAGCTTTGTTTGATGAGTAGACTAAAATGTAAATCGCTATTCACTCATAATCCTCCCCTCCACTGAACAGTTGACCAATGCAGCATGATCCCAAAACAAAAGTTGAGTAATATTCATGAACCAACTCAGGTTCATTGGAAAGAACCAGCCCAAAAGAACAGTCATAAATCAGTCCGATCTGGTTCTCAAGTTCAACTCACTGAACAAATCATTCAGTCCACTGTATGAACTGATTCATCTGGTTCACTAAATAGAATCCGCTCAAAATTATGACTGAATAATGACTGAGATTTCAGTCTGTTTTTTGCACTGAAGCTACTATATGACTTCATAAGACCTTTTTTTCCTCAATTTTGGAGGCTACGTTATTATGAACTGTTGTGGTATGGAAAAAACCTAAGGGAAATGTTTTTTGAAACATCAAATTGTGTGTTCCACAGAAGAAAGAAAGTCATACAGGTTTGGAACGACAGTAAGTGTTGACAGAATTTGTAGATTTGGATGAACTCTCGTTTCATGACAAACTTTACTTTAAAGTAAAGAGCTGAAAACATCTTATTTCCTTTCCTGTGAAATCTTAAAACAGTGAAATGCCTCAGGGAAACTGCTGGTTTCACAGCTGTTGTAAAAACATCTGGTTTCAGGAAAGCGGCTTCATGTGGTACCTGACGCTGTAGAGAATGTTTCCATCTGGATAGACTCTGAGCATGATGTTTTCCATGGTGGTGTCGTGAATGAAAGAACGCTTGGTGTGAACAAAGAAGACGTCAGGCACCCAGATCTTTTTCACCAGCCGAGCGTCAAAAGTTCGGCTTTTGTTACTGCTGGAGGGGAAGGCCAGTCTGTCGTCCTGCCAGTAATGCCTAAGGTACAATGTCATGGTGAAGTCCTATTCCCACAAAAGACATGAAAAAGACTTTGTCAGTTTGCATAAGCCACTTCTTTATACTTTAAATGTCACTGTGTATATATGATTACATTTGCTTTCACTGCATAATTCTCATAGTTCCATTTTTGCAACTTAGGATAAGAAAAAATACATAAAGAAATTATATAAAAATAAATTAATGACACTTGAGTACATACAAATACGTATGTATGCTGACTGAACATGTCTATGGGTTCAGCATGTGCTTTTCTGCACACATTCATAGTCTTTGCTGTTTTAACCTTTGCCCTCTGCCTCAGTCGTGAATCTAATCGTTTTAAATGGTCGAGGATTTAAGCTTGATGGATGACTAGCACTGGGAGTTGAGGGTGTGCAGATCAAACTGACAGGTTAAAGGTTAAAAGTAATTTATAAAAGAGCAGACACTCACCATATTGACCTCTGAAATGCTGTCAATGCTCTCCACCTGCACATCGATGCCCACTGGAATAGCCGAACCTGGACTCAGTGTCACAGATGGAAAAGAAACAGAATTGGGAGAACATGACAAATAAAATAAAATAAAATAAATCTCTTTAATATCTCAGTTGTTTCTCTTAGACAGTAATGAGTTCAAATGGTGACCTCGCAGTCTTCCGATTCTTCTTTTTCAGCTAAGAAAAATAGTCTTTGCTCGAGTTTCAGTCAGTTTCTCTCAATACTGTGCTCAGATATACTAAAGTCAGTTTAAACTCAAACATTTACATTCAGACCTATTTCAAATCAAATTATCTGAGCTTTGTTGCTCAGATTAACCTTTTACCTCTATAGGTTTGGCAACCAAAACTGGTTCTAAGCTCCAGAATCGGAGTCATAGAGCAAACCATAAACGACTGATTTTCATGACATTCGGTTTCATTAACGGTTCTTGTGCATGCATCCTTCTGCTGATGATGTACAGGACACCTTACTTAAATACTTTGCTATTCAGCACGAAACATATGGCGTGACGAGTGAAGTCTGATTCACATCACAAGCTCTTATGAGCTAGTTTTTGTTAGTGAATCAAAAACATACTGCGCAACCAGTGAAGTCTGATTTCCTGTCCTTTCCAGTGAATCATTTATGACTCAGTTGGAGTAGTTTCTCAATTAATCTGACTCATTTACTGAGTCATTAATTGGTCATGTCCAGCGCCCAGAAAGCCTTATGTTAAGGCAGGAAAGACCTAAATCTGTGTAGCTGTGGACTTGTTCAAATGACAAAATATAGTTAAAGATGAGTGCCGTCAAACGATTAATCGCGATTAATCGCATCCAAAATAAAAGTTTTGGTTGACATAATATATATACTGTGTTTATTTATTATGTATATATAAATACACACACACACAAACACACAGTATATATTTTGAAAATATTTACATGTATATACATTTATATATTTATATTATTATATTTTATATTATAATTAAATATATTTAATATATAAACATAACATATTTTTCTTAAATATGTACATGCATGTGTTTGTATTTATATATACATAATAAATATACACAGTACACACTCATATATTGTGTAAACAAAAACTTTTAATTTGAATGTGATTAATCGCGATTAATCGTCTGACAGCACTATTAAAGATACACATCATGAGTTTTGTCAGTGGTATTTTTAAAATTAAGAATATGTTACCACATTTGTGTTCCATGTTGTTTTTTATCTATTGTTGAAATGCCAACACAACTGCATTACTGTTTTCCAAATATTTCTTCCTCAAATTCAAAAGACTCATTAATGTAACCTTGAAAAAAACAATACATTCCTTACAATGTAGCCTATGTAACGCTAAACTATCAAATCACCAACTATTTACTTCTAAGATCTATCAGTGGAAGCAGTAATCAAATCAAACGAGTCAATATTTGTGAAAGAAGGACTATATGCAATTTGCTTTGTCATAACAAAATGACATGACAAACGTATGTTTAGCTATCATAGTTGTGTCTATCTGCATTAAGCACTCTGCTTGTGTCGGCTGTGTTTTTCAAGGGAATCACAGACACATCAGTCTCTCAAGTCACAGCTGCATCACGTTAAAAAAAAACACATGCAGACCAGCTGCAGTCTCTCTGAATAGAACAGAAGAATTTCAAGTGTCTGATTCTTATCCATTATTGAATGTATTGAAAACATCTAAAAATCTGAATTTACCACAGAACCTTAAAACTGCTATGAAAAATTCCAGAGAGTTAGTCTGAAAACTAAACTCTCTATTACTATAATATTTCAAGAATTGTGTAAAAAAAAAAAAAAAGGACATTTAATTGACTATCATTGACTAACGTAAAGAAATGACATTTAAAGTCAAAAAGATGTCTCACGACTGTGTCGTCAACCACATAAAATCTGAAAAGCGATGTTAAGCTTCCTACAAACAGAGACTTAACTCAGTGCACATGACTCGGTGTGATTATCAGCCTCTCACTGTTTTCAGAGAACCATCATGCTCCCCTAATCTGGACTGAAATAAAACTAAACCTCAGTGTTCACATGTAAGGATTAACAGACAAAATAACAAAAAAGTACTATGGTACAACCCCCATTTTTGGACATATACCATGTTATTATTAAAAAAGCACCTTGGAATACAATGCTAAACAGTAGGTATATCTGTAGTTAACAAATAACATGGACATGAACATATATGGCAACACAGAGTCATTGCTTCACAAATACATTCACCTTAATGGACCCGAAATCGCATATAGAACAGAAAGTCTCAGACAAGAAGATTATATGATTGAAAAAACAGCATACCACTCTATGTTCTTATTTTAAAAACAGCGACGTTTGGCTAGCCTGTAAGATTTAGCTACATTCTCAGGCTTCCCAGAGAGCCGCTGGGATTATAATGCAGATTACTGTGCATAAAACACATCTGTCCTCAGTGTATTGTCTGCTTGGTACTACTACCAATCTGGGTCAGAGTGTTTTTTTTTTCTGATTTGGACACATCGCATATGACATTCTAACCTACATTTTTGACAATCTCAGCTGCAGAGTCACATTCTGGTCATTTGGCCTACGGTGACTTTTAAAGCTCTTGATCTTGAGTTCAGCCAGTGTAACAGAACACAGTGCTTAAGCCTGTTCTTTGAGTTCTCTCAATGGACATATACTAGCAAATAACAGCAGCAAGTATGCATGATATCGCTATATCAGCACAGCATGTTTCATACAAAGTAAGCAGCTTAAAAGCATGTGAGAATGAGATTATCAGAGAATATAGTGTTCTGTATAATATTATTTTATAGAAAAGATCTATATATTTATATAGATTTTCATCTGACATTTATGGTAATTTCCTGCTTCTTACATAATAGTGATCATTTTAATTGCTGGCATAGTGTGAAGTGTGTGATCTCCATCAGAAAAACGCATCACGATTCCCATCAGCAGATAATCACATCATTGTTTCTCTTTTTTTTCCCTCTCTCTATCTCCTGAAATTATCCCAGCTGTCCTTGCAGTGCCTCTCTGTGCTGTATTAGTGCTGTTGTTGAATGTCACACCATGTATTCGTGCCAACTGTGCGGAATGAGCTTGCAATATCATTCAAATCAACCATCAAGACACCAAGATAACACATGATGCTTGAAATAAATGAATGCAACAGGTATGTATTTTGAGAATACAACCGAAAGTAATTTTTAAGTGGCTTTTGAATGGAAAGATTTCCTCACCTCCAAAACCAGGCCTCATGGCGAAGTCGTGATCTTCAATTCGCAAGAGCTGCTCTGATTTAATCAGCAGAGATTTGGTGCTGTCAGACTTCTTCGTTTTAAAGTCTATTCGTCTGTTTGAAAAGAGACAAAATGGGGATTTTTTTTTTTAAATAATGTAACAGACATATACAATAACATACACAAAGTTAAGTTTGGGTTAAAAAACAGCACTGACCAAAGTTAGAAATTTGTAAGAGTGGGTTGTTTAGAGAAATTTATTTCAACTTGAGTATGCAGCAATCCAAAAAGCGGTTTTCGGTAATACTTAAAGCCTTTATATATAATGCACTATACAAATATTTTAAATGCATTATTATGCCTTGTAATGCACCTTATAAACTCATGAATAATTGTAACCACAGTAATAATACATTATAATACTCTGCTCATTGCTTTTAGAAAGTAACATTTCAATCATTTACACTTTTAGACCGTATCAAGTATACATTAAAACACATAACAAACAGCCAATGTGTTACAAGGAATCTGTAAATATTACAATGCATTTTAACTTGGGTTATTTATGAAAAGTTATAATGCATTTTAACATACATTATAAATCTTTATAATGCATTATACATACAGTTTAACACTCTCTTGAGGCACTTTTCTAATCAAAAGCCAGCAATACAATCAAACTCTGACTAAATATGCTTCTTATTAAAATATTTTGTTTCCTATTTTGATTTGACCTAGGTCATTTCCAGGTGCCAATTCTGTACTAAATGAGTCTCACTGACTTACTAATACAATTAATAGGATAAACATTCACATCATTTCATAGATTTAACTCTGTCCAACTTTTTTGATATCATATTTCAGGGACTGTAAGTTTCTCTTTGTCAGTATTTTAATATACTTATAAGTTCACACTTATATTGACCACAACAAACTCAATAGTTCAACCCCAATATACTATTGCAATAATGTAGCACTTTAAGACTAAGTTTAGGGATAAGTTTTTATTTTGTTACATTTTTTTTATTTAATTTAATTTAATTTAATTAAAAAAATTGTAAAAATAGGGCACATTGTACTGTATTAATATAAAGAAATGTTCCAGATTCATTAAATAAATAGATAAATAAATATATTTTTTGTTTTTATTTATTTATCCAATTCATAGAAAAAATGATAATACTTTTCTGAAACTCTCTGCTTCCAATGGCACTGTTACCTGAGAATGACCTCCCTCTGGATCAGTACTAAAAGACTAAATAGCTACCCAGTGCTGTTTTTGTTGTTTACATCACATACCCAGCTCTAATTACAGAGTTCCTTTATCCACAATTAATTACACCTTCAAACACACACACAATCCAACAACTCCAAAGTATGGGTCACAACACAGCACAGGGCTTCAAATAAATCCTTACACATCAATCCACAAGGCCGAGACCACAATAAATAAAACCAAGAGTGTAAACAGGCTGACATGGGTATTTAAATTAAACAGAATGGAGCTGATTGATTATATACAAAGCAACGTTCCAACTACCAGAGCATTCTGCAAATGCATTTAGGAGCAAGCAAAAGCATCCTCACCCTCCATGTTTGTGCCGTGTGTTTTTGCCCAGGTAGACGTCCTTGTGCCTGCGCTGGTTTTGCGTGTTGCTTCCTTTGAGAAGGACGACGGGCCACAGCCAGGCCAGGCACATCAGCCTCAGTACAGAGAGAGCAAAGTTCATGACCAAGTCCTGAGCTCCAGGATCTGATGCGGGGAGAAATAGAGAAACGGTGTGGGATCAGTCTAACTCTCTGGAGTTCCTTACCCAGCATCCTTTCCATCTCGTAGTGCCGCCCATTCCGACACAGAAAAGGCCCTTAGATCCACACCGGGCAGCAAAAGTTACACGGTCCCATTTGAAATCCTTTGAGCTCTGCTTTTGTGCATGTGTGTTAGTGTGTATACGGCTGGCGGTCTGCGTTTCCCACCCTGCCTAAAAGCCTGTCTGCTCTTCTGACCATGTCCCCCTCCCTCCGATTAAAACCAAATATCAATTTATTTCTATAATGACAAAGGGATGACGTTAATTCCTCTCTAATCTTCTTACGTGCAGCTGCTGAAATCTTTCAGTAACCTATAAACTCCACGGGGAAGGGGAAGGGGAGGTGCATCACAACCAGAGCTAACTCTACCATCAGGTTGGCTAAAAAAAGCAACTAGCCCTCTTTTTTGTGAATAGTATCCGAGAATTTTTCCTTCAGAATCAAATACATTGCTGAGACAGACAGCTTGATCAACTGGCTTTGTATCTCTGACAGAATAAACCTATGCTAATATGCTAATATGTTGATCATGCTAATATGCTGATTTGGTGCTCGAAAACATTTCTTATTATTATCAGTGTTAAAAATGGTATTGTTTTGTGTAATATTGTTAAGCTAAGTAAGTAAGATGTTACAGAATCATTTACTGATCTTCCCACGTCTGTCAACGCAAATTTAGGACATTGTTATTAGTCTTATATCTGTTTACTGAGTCTTCTACATTCTGAATAAACTCTAGCTGTAAATGAAGCATAACATGGCAGTGGGTTTTCAGTAATTGTATGTGTCTGTACAGCTAAATAGGTGTCGTGCTGCTATTAGCTATTGATGTGTAGATCCACGTCAGGCTAATCTGTGAGACAGATCTTAACTCGCTTCACGGAGGATTACAATCATGGAGAACATCAAGAGAAGACAGAGAGATGAAAAGGGAGGGATAGAGGGAGACAGAACAGGGATGGGAGAGAAAAAGAGAGGCTTACTTTAAAAGACATCCAGGAAATGTTGCGTAAATACCTGTATGACAACTTTGAGAAGCATTAAAAAGTCTGTGTAAATAATCATAAAGGTCATGTCAGATGCATCAAGTCAAGTCTAGAGTTAGTCTACAGAGTCTATAGATTGTATAGTATAGTATAGATTCTATAGTATTCTGATTTATTGAATAAAAAACAACACAGATACATTTAATAAGGTAATTACAAAAAAAAAAAAAGCCCTTTAAAGGAAAAGTTAATGTCTTCTCTTTTAATTTACAACACACACACACACACACACACACACACATAGCTTTCAATCGTGGAAATGACTGCTGAAAAAGACATTTTAAACATTTCTGGAAAAAAAACAAGTTCACTTTTAATAATGCTATAAGGCTACAATTACAGTAAACAATAGTTTATAAAGCAAACAATGGTTAATTTTTTTCTTGATTGAAAAATATGCATCATAAAAATGTTCAAGTGATATTTATCTTATTTTTCTTTGTTTTCTTCACACATCATGTCTCATATTTAATCATGCATATTCGTCACTGACAAAAAGTTTATTGGTCGTGGAAAAATAGTTAATCATCATGGAAATTATGCAACAGCTTGTGTGAAAAGTGTATAAATAATTTCATTTTGCATGCAATAAATATATTAATAAATTATTAAATATCCATTTATATATAAAATTACAATATTATTAGATTAAAAATAATTATTTTATATATTAAAAATAATATTATTAGAGTGTTCTGATTGGTTGCTAGGGTCTTTTAGGTGGATTCTAGACAGTTGCTTGCTACGGTGTTCAGGGATAGACAGATAAAAATATATAAATACTTTTCACAAAAGATGTTTAATCTAGATATAACATTACTCATTATATAATATATAATATAAATTACTGTATATGCAAATAAGTGTTGCACAGTAAATGTCAGAATAGTTTATGATTGTGTCACTCTGTAGCAATTAATATTTCTGATCGATTTTGATATTTTTTAATTGAAAGTCTTGGTTCGGGACAAGGGCAAAACAAAACTACATGATAAAAAAGTATCCAATAGTTTTAATAACAAAAGAGGGGGGTGGGGTAAATCTATTAGTTATAATAAAAATAATTTCCTGGGACATAAAAGTAGAAAGGGGAATAGAGGAGAGACAGTCAGATTCTACGTATATAAAAGAGAATAAACAATAATCGATTCGAGTATCTGATGAAACACAGTGGCACACAATCAATAATAAAATTGGAGCCAGCAGAAGAGTAATCCTAGAGCAGTAACATGCTCCTCTAATCCAGGATTAGAGTCTGATTGAGGGCACAGAAGAGTGCTGGCATCTGAGGGAGACGAGCACGTGCCTCAGTGCGTCTAGAGGAAGCTGCTATTTACACTCAACCAGGATCATCCTTCCCTATTCAGATCATTAATCATAATAAGAAGGATATAAAAAGCTGCTTCACAATCACAACGAAAGGGTAATTTCCACAATCACATTTCATCCTAGTTTATCAACACAAATTCTATAAACATCCCCTTGTGGCCAAATACTGTATGACAGGAGAGCTAACAGCCTACTGTTTTGATCACAAACTGTTGAAGTTGATGATATAGCTATTAGTATTCTGGTATTTGAACATAAATGTCTACTAAATGAATGTAATTTCACTGTAATTTCAAGGAATCGTTTATTTTTCTGTCTCTAGTCTACATAAAAAGTGAGGGGAGGGGGGGGGACAAAATCATATTTTGACGCCCTAGAATAATGTATATCTAAAACACATCTTATATTTTTACAACAATATGTTGTGATGGTGTGAAAAAAAAAAATGAATGAGACAAATCACATCGCTCAATATGGCGGCTTTAAGGATTCAAGGGATTCAAATGAGACCATAGTGAGGTTTGACAAATGTTATTGAAACAAACACAGAGATTTCGATCGTTCCCATACATAACTTTATTTGCATATCTGGAAAGCAGCGGCTCGGGGGCGTGGCCAAGTGAATGGACTTGCTCCAACAAGAATTTGGATTGAATTGAATTTAAAGTAAGGTTTTTTAGGATGCAAAACATATGTAAACATCATACAAAGTGTGCAATATTAATTCAATATATTTTTTTCCCCCTTGACTTAAGAAAGCCTAATCAACGTAGTTTTAAAAGGCTGAAGTTTAAATGTTTTAAGGCCATACAGTACAGTCTATCATAAAAATAGATAGGTAGGTAAGTAGATAGATAGATAGATAGATAGATAGATAGATAGACATAAAGCATACGTCATTACATTTACACTTGAAATTAACAACAATAACTCATGGATATATAACTCAACAATAACAAATGTATCAGATTGCATCAGATGCAAAATGACATTGCAAACAGTCATTCTTTGGATATAAAAAAACAAATCACATTTGTGTGCAGTGTGATTGAAGCCAAGAGGAATGTATTTACTGCCATGTCATCAAACACATTGACCACACTTCTGCCGCAGCCTGCAGGCACTCGATCAGCTCAGGCAAGAAAAGCACTTCCTCACATCTCAAGTCTGTGCATTTGGTGAACCTGTAAGGTTGGTATGACAACTTGCACCTGTCAAAGTCTATAAATACTGCAAGTTTAAACTCCTTCTAAGCATTATGCATCTGTTGGAGCTGAGTGTGGAATGTCAAGCAGAATAATGTACTGGGCCATCTATAGGGCTCCTTTCAGGAAGGAAACGACTGTTTCATGTTCTGACGTCATAAGAACCTTTACTAACCATCAGGGTTACTGCAATCCACCACTAGTTAAGTACACATGCTTACCACACTCTTTGGCAAATTGGGCAAGAAGGTTGCAAGGACATTTGAAGCATGTCTATATTTAGCAAACCCTCAACAAAGAGCAAGGTGGTGATAAAAGACCTAGAGCTTCAGAAAGGTTGGCCTGGAGGGATGTGGGAAGGTTATGGTGAAGTAGCCGGAGTACGTGGTAGGCGTTAAAGGGTTTCAGCTGCCATTTAGTGACTCATGATCTATGAAGAGGCGTGGAAACCTGTCTACCCACTCTCTCTCTCTCTCTCTCTCTCTTTCTTGCTCCTTCTCTGTCATTCATACCCACAGCAAGTTCACAGCACAGCAGAGCCAATATTCAAAAGTCACCTAGGAACTTTCTCGGTTTACTTTCTTTTTTTGTTTTTATATTCACAAAGACTCTCATTCAGGTGGAACCAAGAGCTATTTCTTTTTTCTTTTCTTTTTTTTGCCTGTCTGTGAAGCAGTAAAGAGGAACAGGGTCTGATTACGTTCCTGAGAGAGACTCTTGAAGACTCATCTTCTCAGCAGTTTTCTTTCTGTCTACTCTTCTTGTTTAGTCCCACACGTCTTACTTTGCTTCAATACTTTGTTGTGAGGGAGAATGTCAAGGACCCACTATGGCGCTTGTGTTGTTTTATGGATTTTTTCCTTAGTGGCGTGTAAGGTTCCAGGTAAGATGAACTTTTATTGTTATTTTTGAAAAAAAATTCTGAAAGTGAAATAACTTTTTGCACATTTTTTTTATTTGAAAGAATACCACTTTCCTTTAACAAATCAAACAATTCAAAGTTCTTAATCGCTCATCAATTTATTTTTACTTTGATTTATTTGACTTTTTGCTCACGATCTGCTTTGATTTCAGTACCTGCCACTTTCAGCTAGGCCACTTTTTATCAATTCATGTTTGTACGTCACAGTTGCCAGGCTGAAAAGATGCCAGGAAAGACTTGCAGTATGTTATGAATATACCTTATGTAATTCAGTTGGATGGAATAAAGTATCAATGTTGGCAAGATCATCCACAGACATCTAGTTATTAGGTAGTTCCTCCTTAGGGATTCTGAGTTTCTGAATTTCAGAGCTGGAAAAGTGTTATTTGTTACCCATCATGATTGCTTTAGATGTAAATTATAATTTTACATAATTTAATATTATAGGTTCAGTAGGTAGTGTTATTTTAGTATTATTTATTAATGAGCTTTTAACTTTTTATTTTATTTTTTTATTGTTTTTTCAAATGTTTCTATTAATTTTTACATCCATTTTAATAATTTTAGTACTTCAGATTTAGTACTAAAATTTATATAGTTTTATTTTCACTATTCCAATTACTACAATTGTAATAGTTTTATTTATATTTTATTTACTTTTTAGTTAACAATAACAAGAAATCAAAGCACACACTTTGTGTGTGCG